TTTCATATACAAAGAATTATATATCATTCCCCCATATATATATATATATATATATATATATATATATATATATATATATATATATATATATGAAAATATAGAAAATAGGAAGGAACTGGTTAGGTAAATAATCCAAAGTCCCTTAGTATTTTAGTTATTATTTTTAAAAAATAGTGCTCGATACAAAAGTAGAGCATAAATATAATTATTTATTTAAAAATATGATTCCAAATCGCTACATAAGAGGTCTCATGTTTCAAAACAAAAGCCGAAAACTTCAATATAATCCTTTAAATTAAATTGAGTTGAAAGTAAAATGGGCTCCGTTCCATCTTCAAGCGAAATTTTTGTTGGAATAACGTATATCTGAAATTTACTTGTTTTAAAATTGAAATCAAAATAGAGTCGTCATATGACTATATTATGCCTCGCAAGTGGACTGTAGACGGCAGACGAGTTGACTACGTGTACGTCTTCTGTGTCTGACTTCTGTTGAACTCTCTGCTTTGGCAGCGAGAAACCCGGACGAAGCTTTGCCGAAGGGCAAAGTTTCGTCCGGGGAGATAGACAGGCCCTGAACCCGTCTAGGCTGGTTCAAAGGGTATATTTTTGGCCGAGCCTACGGGCTCGGGAAACCCACGTTAAACTCGGCCTTGTGCCACATACATTCCTCGTGGGGGGACTGTTAATTACCGAAGACGAGTTGACTACTGTACTTAGCCGTCAGACGGACGTGAAACACTTCTGTATTCGTTCTTTTTGTTAATAATACTTTTTCAATGAATTGCTGAGTTCGAGTTTTCTTTCGGGCCTCTCCGGGTCCATCATATATATATATATATATATATATATATATATATATATATATAACTACGAACCTAAAAGCCAGGCAAACCTAGCAAGGTTTCGCCTGGGGGATCGTCAGGGTCGCCGGCTGGCATACCCTGACGATCCGCGTAAATGAAAAACCTAGGTAGGTTTGCCTAACTTTAATTCATAGTTAAATTGCTCTACTTAGTGTATTGAACACTTTGTTTAGTTATTTTACTTTACTCGTGTCGTAGGTTTGTTTCTTTTGGACTCTGAGCTTGGATTCTGGTCGATTGTTTTTCCTGAAATTACATGTTCTTAGTTCTTTGTTATTTTTCCCTTGGGTATTGGTTTGTTCATTTACAAGCCAAAACACCTAAGTTTTTTCCGGACGAGATACTTACTGATATTTATAAGATTATTATATATATATATATATATATATATATATATATATATATATATATATATATATATATTTTACAGTATTTACTGATTTTGTACGCAAGGAAGAAGTAATGTGTATTTTGGCGTATTGATTTCAATGTATCCTATCCCCGTACGCCGTCAAAAGCCTGTATTTAGATAGTGACTGATCTTATATAATACTTTGATTTTCGTCTTCATTTTATTTGTAATGTGTCTATTATGTCAGTTTGTATTTTATTAAAGTTTTCGGTCCATTTTTTCTCTACTTCGTATAAGTTTTGAAGTGACTTCTTATCCCTGAGATCTTGTAGTCTCACCAATATTGTTAAAGTAGTTATCGATCCTAGGACAATGATTTACTGTCCTTTCTATAATTGCAGACGATCGCCAAACCTTACAGATCTGAAACTTAGCTTCTTGTCTGCTCTCTCCATCACTTTAGGCTTATTTCACGGTTATTGCCTTTCTGTTTTTATTTTGAGCACATCCATTTTTCACCTTTTCGTTTAATCTTCTTGCTTTTCAGTTATAATTGTATAAATATATATTTTTTTATTTTCGAAGTTTCTGTAAGTTATTCCCCGGGTTACGTATTCCAGTATCTGGCTTTCATTGATTTTCTCCATATTTGCTTAAATTGTTTTGCAATAACAAAAACATATCTCACTCGTTTTTCACATCTATCTTAAGACTTTACAATTAATCAGATAGTTTCCTGCAGTTTTGTACCTATTTCTCGGTTTTATATACGAGAATTCTAACAAATAAAAGGCCCTAGATCCCCTTAAGGAAGAGGATAAATACTGTTAAAATCGGCGATATGAATTAATCTTAGCTTCAGTGATTTTCCCATCTCCATGACAGAGCTTCCCTGTACATTTTTTTGTAAATACTTTCATGGTAATTGTTCTGATGAACGTTACTCTATATAGACTTAGACTTTATAAATATAAGCGCAGTACTAGATTGGCGGTAAGGTCTCATCATTTTACAGTTGAAATAGCTAAATGGAATCGTGAGTTCTATGGTAGTGTTAACACCTGTTATGGTTCTAGCTATGCTCAGACAGTGAAACCCTAAATAGAAATCAAAACACTAAGACATTTTAAAATTAAAATTTTATAGTAAAAATAACAACAATATATTTTTATAGTAAAATTATTGACCCTGAGTGGGCATCTCGGGTTCAGTCACTTTCCCACCTCCATAATAAATCTTCCCCGTGTCTTTCCTATAAATACTTTTCTGTTCCGATGATATTCTGTTATGGTACCTAGACTTAATGAATTTAAGCGCAGTACTAGTTTGGCGGCTAGGTCTCATAATTTTTAAAACTGAAATAGCTGGACGTAACGGTAATTTCTATTCTAACAGTTTCCTTTCTCGCACTTCTCGCCTGTGGAACTCACTTCCGGTTTTTTACTTCCCAGTCAACATCGATCTTCGAAAATTTAATGTTCTCTTTCCAGAAGCTTTACCCGAAACAATTAAGCTAGTTTTTGTTTACCAGTTTTACCTGTGTCATTATTTTTTGAATTAAGAAAATTAAAAAAAAAGAAAAAAAAAAAAGAAGGAATATTTGGTCGTCTGCAAGCCTAATGTCTGCTAAATAAATCCAATAAGTGAAAAAAGCCGTGCCAAAAATATACAACGGCAAAATAAAACATTATCTAAGCATGTCTCGTATTTTAACAGATGCTTTTCTTTCCATAGACTTGAGAAGCTGTTTTGTCAAGTAAAAAAGAATCAGGATTTTGAGTGTTACCATGCATTACTACTGAGAAAAATGGTGCAATATATTCCCTAATGAAGTATCGCTTCGCATTAGGACTATATATATATATATATATATATATATATATATATATATATATATATATATATATATAAACTTCCACCGTGAATAACTTACTCCTGTCCATAGCCAGTGTTAGCACCTAAAAAATAATCGAATGCTGAATTTCAAGGCACGCACTTCAAAGCTTAGAGAGAAAATCTGCTTAAATCTATTGTCTTCCTGTTTCAGTTCGTGTCAAATAGAATTCCACTTAATTAATATTTAATATTTTTGTGATATCAACGAACCCTCGTAACGACTTTTGTGATACACTATTTACGTTATTCGGACTATTGTCCTCATCTTTGTCGCCATATTTATTACATCGTTTCGGCCATTGTACGCTCTGACTTTCTTCAGGTGGTTGGAATGTGGAACTGAACCATTTATTTCGCTCACTGGGGTAGACTGTTCTAATTCCCCTCTCCAAGTTCTCCATATGACATAGTGGATGAACTTGGAGAGGGGAATTAACAGGAGATAAGTGATTGGGTTGTGGAGAGCCGTGATAATCAACGTCCTGAAGGGACACGTCACAAAGAAGAAGCAGAATTTTGATGTACAAGCGTGAGAGAATGCATTATTCGAATAGAATTTACGGTTTCTATTCTGCAATTTCATCAGTAAAATAAAGAGACTGCAAATCTAGTTCAGCGCTTCAATCCGTGAAGTAGTCGTATAAGTTTCTAATCTTTGTGTCGTACCAGAAAGTGTTACTCGCCTGAGTCTATCTTTCAAATCTATAAATCAGCCATCTGTCCTTGCATGGAATATTGCTTTCATATATGGTCTGGTGCTCCCGCTGTGCGTATCGAGGTCCTTGACAAAATCCAGAGAAGAATATGAAAGATAATAGGTCCTGATCTGGCATCTAGTCTACAATCGGTATCTCATAGACGTGCTGGGCCTCCCGCTGTCTATTCTACAGATATTTTCACGGCAACTGTTTCGGTGAGCTACTATTCCCAGACTTCACGAATTTAAATTTGATAACAGCCTGGCATCTCGGTGCCACCCTTTCACTATCAAAACGGTTAAATGTACCCGTCTCTTCTTCTCAAACAGCTTCTTCTCCCGCACTTCCCGTCTGTGAAACTCCCTTCCCCTTACTTGCTTCCCCGGTGACTATAATCTTTAAATATTCAAGTGGGATGTCAATCGATTCCTGACACCCTGAGCTTGTTTCTCGTCCTTCTCTGTATCCTTTCCTCAAACGTGCCTCTTTAATCTTGTTCTCAATCCTCTGTAACCCCTTGCGTGTTAGTGGCACACCTGCTTTGCTTGGGGTGAATTGCCTTAAAAAAATAAAAAAAAGCCGTTCACAATTTTATCATGAATTTTCATCTTCTTTGCGTCAGAAATTTTTGACATCTCTTCAGCTGAGTCCGGTCTCTTTAGTTTATACATGATGTTGGTTTTATGTTTAATGAAATCACTGCAGACCTATCAATGAAAACAAGTGCATATACGTTTGCACTGAAAAGTACAGTAATGAACGCACGAACACTCAGTGACCCAAGTTGAAATATATGGCCTCGCTTATATATGGACATGTAAAGATTGCAACCGCCATCGGATAAGTTTAGTTCAGCCAGGTGTATTATTTTAAAATATTCACAGTCAAACAACGCTGATTAGCATTTCCCTGTAAACCCCGAACAACATTATTTACGAATTGTCCCCCTTTTTAAAATTCGCGCTTTGTTTTCATTATTTCCTCCTTACTAATGACTGCAACGTGTTTGTCCTTTGGGTAAAAAAAAAAAAAAAAAAAAGCTCGCGACTCAATTCTTACATTACACATATCAGTGAAATAAATAACGGAATATGAAAATTTACATCTGATGATTTTCATGTACATCTGGAGGGGATAGGCGAAAGATATGTTTTTGATTTTAACCTCTTAAAATTGGCATTCATTCGATCAAATGCCTACAGAGGCGGTTAGTAGCAAAGAGAGGTCAGTAAGTAAAGGATATAGAACTGGCAAGACAGATAAATAGTTATAAAACCGAGAGGTTGTTTGCTTAAATGTGATATGCACAATAGCATACATACATGATTATTGTATTGTCCAGTCGGCTACGACTAAAACATTCATGCACATTAGGAAGCGAATTCAATTATACATTTTAATATATATATATATATATATATATATATATATATATATATATATATATATATATATATATATATCCTAATGTAATGAGAACAAAATAATATATAAATTCTAACGTTCCCAGCATCAATGCCAAAGGACTGAAAAAATAGGTTGAGGAGTTGGAAAATTGGCTTCTGTAAAAATAATAATAAATTATATATATATATATATATATATATATATATATATTTATAAATGTTGGCCGGACCCGAGTCAGAGCAGAGGTGGATATTTGAAGAAAGTGCGACATACACAATTCTACGAAGAGTATCTCAATAATTATTCATTTTAATTTTTACATATGGACTAAAGTAATTTTGTCATTACATAAATGCAACCTTGTTTCGGTGCATTAAGTTGCACCTCAACTGGTGAGAAGCAATAGTGATTGCCTATAACCTACATTTTTCTCATCTTTGTAGTGAGTATAACAGTTTTTGTCTATATGTAAAAATTGTAATAAATTATATTTATATATATATATATATATATATATATATATATATATATATATATATATATATAAAAAAGTATTTAGCAAGACCAGGTCAGACCAGAGGACAGATATTTTTAAGAAAGTGCAAAATACACAATTGCAAAAATTGAATGTGCAGGGAGGGATAGTAATTTTGTTAAAATATTGAAAATTCCATTGTTAACACGATACAGGTTTGAAACATACGGTCCCATCAGGTGTTTTTGGTAAATTATCAAAAACCCGTAATGTTGAAACCCGTGTTAACCGTGAATCTATATATATATATATATATATATATATATATATATATATATATATATATATAACGAGTGTCAGAGCAGCAGGAATCTAGTTAATATGACATACACAAGTTCCTATATACGATATATATATATATATATATATATATATATAGATAGATAGACGGCTCGATAGATAGATAGATAGATAGATAGATTTGAATAAGCTGATAGATTTGAATACGCTGATAGATAGATCGATAGATAGATAGATAAAGTCATTTATTTTCTTAATAAAACCAAAGATGTCAAAATTGATGTATTTACATTGTCTTTTTAGAAATGTCCACGAATTTAAATTTGATAACAGCCTGGCATCTCGACCCCTTTCATATCAAAACAGTTCGTGTACCCGTCTCTTCTTCTCAAACATTCTTCTCCCACACTTCCCGTCTGTGAAACTCCCTTCCCCTTACTTGACTATAATCTTTAAATATTCAAGTGGGATGTCAATCGATTCCTGACACCCTAGATCCTTTCCTCAAACGTGCCTCTTTAATCTTGTTCTCAATCCTCTGTAACCCCTTGTTATTTTTGCTTGGGTGAATTGCCTTAAAAAATAAAAAAAGCCGTTCAAATTTTATCATGAATTTTCATCTTCTTTGCGTCAGAAATTTTTGACATCTCTTCAGCTGAGTCCGGTCTCTTTAATACATGATGTTGGTTTTATGTTTAATGACATTATCAATTGCATATACGTTTGCACTGAAAATTACAGTAATGAACGCACGAACACTCAGTGACCCAAGTTGAAATATATGGCCTCGCTTATATATGGACAAACCGCCATCGGATAAGTTTAGTTCAGCCAGATGTATTATTTTAAAATATTCACAGTCAAACAACGCTGATTAGCATTTCCTATAAACCCGAACAACATTATTTACGAATTGTCCCCCTTTTAAAATTCGCGCTTTGTTTTTTCATTATTTCCTCCTTACTAATGACTGCAACGTGTTTGTCCTTTGGGTAAAAAAAACACATTTAATACTGACATTTAATACTTCAGCAGCTATGGAAGCCTCAAACGGAAATCTAGTCTGGCAACTAAACACAAATTATATACTCGTGTCCTATTACATTGCATTCATTGCCAATATCAGCAAAACTAAGCAAACTTCAGCCGACAGCATTCATGTGTTGTAATAAGATTGTGTTGATGCAAAAATTAAAATTCATCTGAAAACGAGGAAACGAGTATGGTAGCTTTTCGATCATAAACGATTTACGGTCTAAGAAAATTTGAATATATATATATATATATATATATATATATATATATATATATATATATATTGAACAATAAAAAATATTAAAAAATTAAAATCTTCAGACACACTATTAATATTCTTTCGTTTTTTTATTATTATTTCATTTAGATTCCTCGACTAGTTTCGGCCAAAATGGCCATCATCAGGAGAGAAAAAATTCTGCTTGCTGGTAGCAGTGAACTACAGAAATTAATGTCTTGCTGGAGAAAATGAACTTTTGTCTGTAGTTTTCATTTGTTTTTTTATTTTTTTTTATCTATCTATCTATCTATCTATCTATCTATCTATCTATATATATATATATATATATATATATATATATACATATATATGTATGTGTGTTTCAGTGCAAAATTGTCCAAATCGTGTAAGAGCATAATTGTCTATCCCATAAAATGTTTAATATCTAAAAAAAAAACAAGAAAAAAAAAAACAACACCATACTAATTGAGTTTCTGTTTTCCACGTTTCCAGATAAGACGTTTAGCCATCTTGACACCATTTGTCGTAAGAATCAATGAAAACCCCGTTGAGTTATTCAGCTAGAAAGAGAAGAGGTTAAAATCGTTTTGTGTTAGCCCCACTATGCCTTTCCAAGTTAGCAATGGTGAGATTCCAGTATCATTCAGGTCTTCGGTAATGCTACGAACATTCAGACTCTGGCTTCCATCTTCAAAGTCCATTCAAGAACCATCAAGAGAACGGTGAATAAGTTTAAAAAAAGAGGGAACAGTAGAAAGAAAAACTGGATCAGGAGGCCGCAGCAGGAAGAGGGATCATCATTTCAACTTAGAGATAAATACATTCTTATGGTTCAAAGTAGAGTCCAGTAGTGTTAAAAAAACCTCGTAGAATCCCATTAAGATATATAATTCCAGTAGGATTATTATTCATTTCTACGATATAACGGTTCAAAACCTAATCTGAGAATTGGCCAACTTTGCTATTACAACCAGTGTATATATATATATATATATATTGATTTACTAAGCGTATCATAGTTATGGCACAAGACCGAAAGTATGGGGCACACAGTGAGAATCGAACTCATTATTCAATTGTAACTGATTTAGAGAGACAAATTTGCTAACCATTACACCACGTCGATATATATTTGGTTGGATAGATGTGAGTTTGTGACCCTGGGTTTCACGCTTTAGCGATCGTCAGACAAACTGATTAATGTTTTAAAAAATTTGGGTTTATGTAGATTGCGTGTATTGGTGTTGTTGTTAGCTCTATCTCTGATATTGAGCGCTTTCTAATAAGTACCGCGCATATAATATATAAATAATTATACATATATATATATATATTTATATTTATATACACTTTTCACACACACACACACACACACACACACACACACACATATATATATATATATGTTATGAGCGGGCAATAGTTATAGTTTCTGAGAGAGACCGCATTATCTGGTGTTAACAAAAGCATTTGAATAAGGCCAGTATGTTGAAACCCTCAGTCAGGATGACTTCTTTCTAGCAGAACCATCGACGGCACCCTAACAGTTTAGTGTATTCAATTTCCTTGGTTTACCAGACACTTCACAATGGCGCCTCACGCTCCGACACACAAGCCACCAATCTGACACTGCGTATCATGCCAGTAGCGTTTTGCCGCTGGGGGCCCGCTGTCGGACCGCTGGCGTGTTTGTCCAGGCAAAGTTCATACTGGCCGACCGCTAGAGGCCTATCGATCGCTGCCACCAGAGGACATCTGGCGTTGTCATCGACGGCCCGCCAGCATGCGACAACAGCTTGCGTATTCTTGACAAATCGACCATATTAAGATTTGAACCTAAGTCTCCTGGTCAGAATGCTAACGTTCTAACGAGTCAGACCCGCATCCATGTTACCTGGCAGTAATGGACTGGAATATCGAGCTCCCATGGCGACATCTATGGAACAAATATAAATGCATAGTTAAAGGAGAATTTAATAAAGTGTGAACCATCCAGTGAGGATTGAAATTATTACCTTACTTTTTAAGGGAGGATGATTTACACGAGACCACGGAAAGACGCCCAAACTGATCTTCAAATAATGAACGAATAAAGTAAATATTTCAAGGGATATTATCTAGATTTTAGAGAAAACAAAACAAATTATTAAAATATAAATACGAGTTTAGATTTTACTAGTTGAAGTTTATAACATTTCAACTTTCCCAATCTTTTGTCATTGTGTCAAATTTTTCCTTGGTTTTCCAATATTAATTCTCCACTCCTGTTTCTTGGAACAATTCCTTCACTGTCGATTTGTTTTTTTCTATTCCGAAGCAATGGCACCAAGCCTTGTTTCATAAATGCAATTAGTCCCTTGACCAAATCTTTGTGATTCAATCCCTTCGAAAACAAGTTTGGATAGTTTATTGATTTTATGTAATTTTTATGTAAATTTGATTGAATTAATAGATTATTTTAATTATATTAATTAATCTGTCTTTCATTTTTCTTTGTTTCTAATGGAATTTTATTAAAATGTCTCTTTTGCATTTACGATAGCACAGATCGCTGGATATTCTTCGTGTCCAGGAGTGTCGATCTTTTAATTTATGTACCCGACGTTAGAACCATTGTGCTTATTCGTGTTGTGAAATATTTTCAATACTGTGTTTGTAAAGAGAGAGGAAAATGTTGGTCTTCTCAACTCTCCAAGGTCCGCCGTATATTCGAGATAGACCAGAGGTGGTCAAACTTGCTTAATGTAAGAGTCTCATCAAATAAAGTTCTGATGTTTGAGAGCGGCAAGACAAAAACAAAATTTACACATATTACATAAACATGTGATCACTCTCACCAGCCCTGGCGCAACCAAATCTTCTGACATTTCTCCGTAACCTTTGCTAACTGTAAATGTCTTTAATCCCTATGCCTCCCACAATTCCTTCACTCAGCGCTAAATGTCTCACATAGATCTAGCATTAAAATTAGGATTTAAATTCTTAGTTAGTTTTACTAACCATGAACATTAAACATACATTTTAATCCAATGGGATCTCAATTCATACCAAGTAAATAATTATAAAGCTTGTAATTTTTCTTATTTATCTAACTGTGATGAAAAAAGGAGCTTAACTAAAATGTTTCCATGAGCCGCATATGTCAGAGAGCCGCGATTTGGCTACCTCTAAGATATACCAAGCATTCTATATATATACATATACATATATATATATATATATATATATATATATATATATATATATATATATATATTGGGTGTCCATAAAGTTCGTGTGCACATTAAAAAATTATAACTTTATTTGTATTTGCGATAGAAATAATCTGTAAAAATGTTATAAAGTTTAATGCACCTAGTTTTAAGTATAGGTAAATTAACTAATGTGCTTTCAGGCATTACTGTAAAGCAGTTGGCAAATGTTTTCCGTGAACTGAAAAATCGTATTGCCCTTTGTATTGCTAATGATGGAGGACATGTGGAAACTTAAATAAAATTTCAATAAAACCTTAAAAAATATAGAATTACTTCTTTCTAATCCTTTTTACAAATTATTTCTATCGCAAATACAAAGTAAGTTATAAATTTTTTAAAGTGCAAACTAACTCTATGGACACCCTGTGTATATATACCTAATATTAATACCTAGGTTTCATCTATACGCATCGTCAGGGTCAACTGACGATCCGTATAGGTGAAACCTAGGTAGGTTTACCTGGCTCTTTAAGTTCATATTTACGTTTGGTCTACTTATTTTAACTACGTATTGAGCACTTTATGTAGTTACTTTTTGCTTTATTCGTTTTTGGAGGTTTTTTTTCTTTGGACTCTGAGTTTGAATTCTGGACCATTGTTTTCGCCTTATATATACATACATATATATATATATATATATATATATATATATATATAGTTATACTCGTTTGGAAAAACCTTAGGTAATATATATATATATATATATATATATATATATATATATATATATATATAGTTATACTCGCTTGGAAAAACCTTAGGTATTTTGGTTTGTAATTGAACAAACCAATGCCCAAGGGAAAATCAAGAATAAAAAAGAAAGAACTAAGAAAATGAAGTTGAGGCGAAAACAATCATCCAGAATATATATATATATATATTCCCTCGCCGTTGAGGGATAATATTTATATTGATTGTTATAAAATTAATAGCTATATTGTATTACATCGAGCACTGTTTTATTAACACCAGCTTTATATGTGCTATAGAATTTATAAATTATTGAAACTTCTATAGTTTGGACAAAGAAAATAATTACCGTCCATCCTTTGTTCCAGCAAAGGGAGCGATATAATGTGTCAATATTGGTGAAATATTCCCCGGCCTTCGAATAAATTTTGAAATGTTTCTACTTCATCTAAATAGGTGTAACCTCCATCTCCTCCAATTGTAAACATTTGGCAAAGGTTTATTGAATTATGTGGCTCGTCACTCTTAAACGGTCCAGCTTCGTGATGACGTATCGATTGACTGCCCAAATGGGACGAGTCAATAGATCTGTGGCCAAAGTTAACAGTCGCCATTTTGGTCCCCCTATCAATATTATAAACCACATTTTGTTTTTGATTGCTAGACTTTAGGGAGAACTGTTAATTTCGTACTTAGGTTTGCTCTGTACAGAATGAAATGTGTCTGCATGTATATGGTGGACATTTCCAGGGCATTTAGCTAGGAACCGCCGACGTCAATAGTCTTAATTTTTTCTTTCTTTTTCGCTTTCAAAAATACCTGATGGCTCATGGGATAGTTTAACCAAAATATCCATATAAATCATCATGCATCTACCCCCAGGTCATGAATTTACCAATTTGTTTACCGATTCGTACATATCTCTGGATATTTATATATATATATATATATATATATATATATATATATATATATATATATTATTATTATATATATATATATATATATATATATATATATATATATAGCTTATATTATTATTATTATATATATATATATATATATATATATATATATATATATATATATATATATACACCTAGTGAGCCAGACAAACCTACCTAGGTTTCACCTAAACGGATCGTCAGGAAAGTATGGCAGAAGTCCATGTTTGTAGCTCTTTCTTTTTTTTAAAACCTTTTTTCCCCTCGAGATTGATTTGATTAGCAAATCAAAAATTCGAGGGTTTTTCAAAACAAGTCTAGTTATCTATATTTATATTTATATATATATATATATATATATATATATATATATATATATATATATATATATATAACATAACTTTACTGATGCACTTTCATCTATGTTACTAAGACTTTATGAATTTAAGCTCCTTAAAAGACTGGCAACGAAGTCTCATTATTTTATAATTTAAATTTTTAGATGCAGCCGTAAGTTCTATGCTAATAGTTTCTTCTCTCGCACTTCTCGCATGTGGAACTCTCTGCATTATTCGGACTATTGTCCTCATCTTTGTTGCCATATTAAATACGTTTCGGCCGTTGTACGCTCCGGCCTTCTTCAGGTGGTTGGAATGTTGAACTGAACCCTGTAGACTGTTCTACTTCCACGTGCCATGCTTAATGGATGTCAGTTATCTCCTGTTAATTCTTCTCTCCTCAAGGACATATGGCACGTTAGTTATATCCAGTGAGGGGATCCAAAGATTGTGAGTTCAATACTCGGTTAAGGTAGTGGAGAACTTAGAGAAGTGAATTAACAGGATATAACTGACAACTGACAACCATTAGAATATGGCACGTGGAACTAGAACAGTCTACACCAGTGAGCGAAAAAAAAGGTTCAGTTAAATATTCCAACTCCCTGAAGAAGGCCGGAGCTTAGAACGGACGAAACGTTGTAATAAATATGGCAACAATAGTCCGAATAATATAAAGAGTGAAAGTTGAATTTTTTATTTTCAGAAACATTTGAACAACAACAATTAAGACACTGAAAGGAATTTCAAAGGTCCGAACAAAAACAAAATTTCCAATGTTAAAGAGCCTTCTTAAATATACGAGCAAAAGCAGACTTGGATCGTTGAAGCTACTCCGGGAACACGTCGTGACATCCATGAAATCGACTTTCAACGCAACAGCTTTTTTTGTCATCTCCCTTCGTTTCTTTTCCTGAAGCTAAAAGTCATTTCCCCGCTGATTGAATTCGAAGCTCCCTATGTTGTTGCAATAGTTTTATTAGAGGCCGACACAATTTCACTTTGAATTATCCACTGTTTTCGTTCTGACAATAAGAAAACTTATTACAACCATTATAAACAGGAGATCCCCGTCCGTAAGCGAGTAGAGACATGACGTTTTATTTATTCATAAACGATGTTTGCCACAAATGGTTTCTGGGCCTAATGGCGACGACTATCCGGCTTCGCAAAACCAATCAACTCGAAAAGCCTGTTCGTAAAGTTTGATTACACTTTGTGTTTAGTTCTGTCTGCAAGTTGTCAAAGAAGGAGTTCACACATCTCTCTCTGTTTCTTTCTCATGCTCTTTCTCTCTCATGTGTTTATATTAACAAAGGGTACGCCTGTGATATATATATATATATATATATATATATATATATATATATATATATATATTTAAAAATATGATTCCAAACTCGCGACATATTTTTAAATAAATAATTATATTGATGTTCTACTTTTATATCAGGCACTATTTTTTAAAAAATAATAACTAAAATACTAAGGGACTTTGGATATTTACCTAACCTGTTCCATCCTATTTTATATATATATATATATATATATATATATATATATATATATATATATAATAAAACAAAAAACCAAGACTCAACAAAATTACATTTCCAAATAGTCACAACACATTACAGTGCATCTAAACATATGGTACTGTTGCTAATATTTCAGTCTCTCTCGTGGTGCGACGTCATAGAACCGCATCATAAATTTACGACCTGCATCTGCTATTTAACGACTGTGACCGTCGCATAGGAATTTTCTATGTTACCATAACAGAATATCATTTTTGATAGATAATATCTTTGTTTAAATGCCCGCAAAACCACTCTGAAGATGGCTCATGTTTGTCGAAAGCTTAGATAGAGTAACAGCATAATAAAAAGATATCCAAATGTTGTACAAATGTTGTCTTTATTTTTGTCCCAAATTAAAGCAACTATACGAATGTCTATTATGTTTGATCATAAGCCGTTCTAGGACTACTTCAACACGCCACTGGCGAATCTTATATGTGTTGTTCTTGTCCTAAGTATTATCGTTCATTACCAACCTTCGTTTGATTATTCTATTCATTAACCTTCCCTATGTTACATTCATTATGTCAACATTTTTGCGGTCCCTGTATAATGTTGGAGCTATGTGAGTTGTCTTAGAAGTTTGGATAGAACTTGTGACAAAGAATTTTTAAGGAGAATAGGCACTGCAAGTAATAATGCGGAATTTATTGAATACATATTGAGGAAAGAAGGTTGGGAGATTTTAACACTTACAGGGTAGAAGAAAATCTAGAGACACGCGGAGAAAAACTGCGAAAACCCTACTTTAAAAATTTTAGCACAAGGATGGAAAAAAAAACTGAGAGGGGTCGTAAAGATAAAAATTGTTGTGAAAATATCAAAAATAGGAAGCGGTGGAGGATCATGATCGTAACGTTCTGTGAGCCAAATATTTTCACTTTTTTCTGTTTCACTATGTAGTATTTTTATTGTTTGAGATTTTTTTTTAATTCGATCAGTTTGATTGGTTTAAATATTTTTGTTTTTTTTCCGATAGGATATATTGCAGTTTATAAATTTTATAATTTATTCAAAATATACTATTAAGATGTTAACAAAAGTTACTTCCCTTTAATCCAATGTTGTGATCTAAAGACTAAGGTTGTTAACATCATCAAGGCAGAATATAGCTTTATGCGTAAGCCTAAACCTGACCCTACTAAAATTAATTATAACATCTATCACCAACAAAATCTCCGACTTATGACAGCCCTAAAAGCTCTAATTATGAATAATGAAAACACGATTTTAAATTATATAACATTAAAGGTGAATACTGACATTAATTATCTTCAATAAGCAAGAACTACTACTAGTTGGGTAAAACATGCTGTTTGTTACGCCAGAGTGTGTCTGTCTGCGCGCACATAGCGTTTATGAACTTGCATTTTCACATGTGATTAATACATTCTGATTGAACAACCAAAAACTATATGCATGTGTATAGGCGTTTGCTTAGCTCAAGGCTAGCAAAAGGTGTTTGTATACAATATACGATGAACAGCCTTCGGGATAAGCATGCCCTACAGATGTTGTTAAGAAAGTTTTCGTGCGTTTTATTACAAACATGTATAGGAGCTAATCCAGTTTGATTTTGGGAAGCTAACTCATAAGGAACTTCGTGACACTAATCTTGTTTTAAAAGTGTTTTTCTTTTCTATTCAAAGTTAAATGAATACATAAGGAGAAATCTGAACTTCCTACAAGCGTAATGCTAGCAACGAGAGAGAGAGAGAGAGAGAGAGAGAGAGAGAAACAGACAGAGGGAGAAAGAGACAGAGAGAGAGAGAGTGAGAGAGAGAAACAGACAGACAGGCAGAGGGAGAAAGAGAGAGAGAGACAGACAGAGGGAGAGAAACAGACAGACAGACAGAGGGAGAAAGAAAGAGAAGCAGACAGACAGAGAGAGGAAGAGAGAGAAAAACAGACAGACAGAAGGAGAAAGAGAGAGAGACAGACAGACAAATAGAGAGAGGGAGAGAGAGGGAGAAAGAGAGAGAGAGAAACAGACAGAGAGACAGAGGGAGAAAAAGAGAGAGACAGACAGACAGGGAGAGGGAGAGAGAGAGAGAAACAGACAGAGAGACAGAGAGACAGAGAGAGAGAGAGAGAAACAGACAGACAGACAGAGAGACAGAGAGAGGGAGAGAGAGAGAAACAGACAGACAGACAGACAGAGAGAGAGAGAGAGAGAGCTGTCCGCGCCGAAAACGACATGAAAATGCATATGCATATTAAACGACATGGAAATGCATATATATGCATATTAAAAGATATACACGTTAGAAACGGACTTACACAATTCTGAACGTATTGCCACATTCTCCTACTAAAATTTGTAAAACTGGATACATTTAGAAATTCCTTTGTCAACAAATTAAGAAGAAAAAAAACACGATACAGATGGTAGCACAGAAGTACCCAACCCCAGTCCACTTGCATTTCCATTCACTAATTAAATTAAATTAAATTAATCACTTAATAAACTGTTTAATTATCAAAATTACGAAAGATTATACTAGAATAATATATACATATATAAACACACATATAGTAGCACAAGGAGTGGGGTCTGTATCGACAAATTTGATTGTTTCCAAGAAGGAAATGTTGCTGACTACTCGTCAGCGATGGAGTGGGTGGGCAAAGTGAGTGTGAAGAAATACATGCTCCAGATGTTTTTTGAGCTATCCGTCCACTATCAAGACAAAAAAAAAAAAAATGCCACGAACAAAATGAAGACATTAGAGGAACAAACTTTTTTTTCGGGAACTCTCACCTTCCTGCTAGTTTCTTATTAAGTAATTTAAAGACCAATGAAAATACACTTCCTATACCCCGTTCTTTCTTACAGGATTTGTAACCATCGACAGAATCCCTCAATTATATTTCTGAAATATTATATAGACTTCCAACAAACGGTATAGCTACTGAATAGTTAGGACATGTAATTATTCTACTTTATCCTACATCAACACACATATACACACGTACTAACACTCACACACACACACACATATATATATATTTATATATATATATATATATACATATATATATATATATATAACCTGTGATACAGCGAAACAGTCTGTCTGTGGATGACTGTTGTATGGTGAACGAAAATTTTTCTTCTTCCGTATGAGTTTCGAATCGTCGTCGCCAAATGTTGTAGAGTAGTTTGTCAGTGGAGGCTTGTATTTCACTAAGTCGGTCCTAAAATAGGTTCGACGTACAAAAACGTTAGGAACTTGATATAATAGGTAATGACACAGTAATCTAGTTGTGGTGGCTGATACTTTAATATCCGACTAACGGTCGTCCGACATCGACTGACTGACCAACGCTGCGACTGACTCGTTACTATTAGTACTACTTATTATAGGTGAGAGAGTCTATTAACAATAGAATAGATGTGTTCCACTATAACAATGACAATATATATGCTAATGAAAAATTTATTTCTGTTGATCTCTCTGGGGAGGAAGTGTGACTTTATAAACAGTGACTATTACGGCTTAGGGGTAGAATCTCCGACTGGCGCCAATTCAGCTGGCTTTATATCCTAGCTAAAGGCAACCGGACACCTAGCCACATTGATGACCTGTGATACAGCCCAAAAGTTTGTCTATAGATGACAATATATATATATATATATATATAACTTTTAAAACCTCTTCCTTTTAAACCAAATAACTTCCACCCTCTCCATGGCCACTGTCTCGTGCCTTTCTGATTGGAACATTGAAGTGGATAATTTCTGTATTAATTTTTCGACAGCTGTCACAGTTAAATTTAAATTTCTAATTCTAACACGAACTTAGTCTTTATACCGGGGTTGAATAAGACGGGACGAAGTTTTCTTCGGTTGAAATAGATATATACCACATATGAGGTAAATTTTCCCGTAAATGCGACTCATCTGACAAATTCCACAGATTGAAACCTGGGAAGCTATTTATGAATGCGGACTGCATCTTGGGCGAGTAAACCTTGAGGAGACCATTTTTTTTTATTTTAGATCAAACAACAGACGATGTCTTCCGACTTGAAGGCTTGTCTTCACAACTCCAGTATTAAGCGCCAGATGAGGACCAAAATGTAGTACTGCAGCCAAATGCCCGCTCCCCACTTTCTAGTCGTGATAGAATTCAAAACCGTCTCTGAGTCGTTGTTAGAGGAGAGTTTAGCCTTTCTCTCACAGGCGGGATGTGACGAAACAAAATAATAGGGTTGTTTCTCCATCAGAAAAGAATTATTTTTGTATCTTTTTTTATGAATAAAATATCATCCGCTTTTTAAAGGTCATTTTATCTTGGTAGGGCAATAATGATCTGTTTAAATATATAAAATTTCCATTTGGTCTTATCATTATCATCTCTCTCTCTCTCTCTCTCTCTCTCTCTCTCTCTCTCTCTCAAACACACACACACACATATAGATAAACAAATATAGTTTTAAGGTCTGCTATATTTATGGGATAAAGTGCTCAATATCAGAGATAGAGCGTATGTAAATATAAACATAAAATTGAACATTGAAGTCAACACTCAGAGGAGACAAGCTGTTTCATGCTAAACGCAATTGTCAGGCCGCGAGTGTTGGGGTTTTTTCTCGACTATTTATATATATATATATGGATCAGTGGTGTGGTATAGGTAGTCCATTCTGGCGGTAATTTTGGCGGGAGTGATTTGCTTATTTAGATATTTATTTATTTGTGTTAATTTATTTCATTTGTTTTTATTTATTTACATTTTTTATTTTATATATTTATTTATTCGTTTCGGTGTTCGATGTTTTATTAACGAAGTAAAAACGTTTTTGGGATTTGCTTATTCAATAGTTTGTTTTGGTCTGGGAAGATAATTAAAGCTAATTATTCGTCCAATATATTTCCATATATATATATATATATATACACACACACACACACACACACACACACACACACATATATATATATATATATATATATATGTGGCGATCGTTTGTACTATGTGGTATTCAAAAACCTGGCCTACAGTTGCAGAAATGTGTATTTGACCTATTTTGCTAAAATCCGATAACCATTGAGGTGCCATCATGTTTAACTTGACTTGCACTTTTGGGAAGTGAACAAGCAGCCATTCAAACTCAAAATATCCACCTCTCAAAAGGGTTTACTTGAAAAAACAAAGCCTGTGTGTATGACACCTGATTGCATTTAAATTTTTTCCCACATTGCTCGTTATTGCAACATACGTCATAGTGGTGGGAGAGTGACTGATGCCGAGCCGCCAGACCAGGACCAATAATATTGCTGATTCTTCTTTGGATCTTATTATGGGGCTCAAGATAAATAGCACGGGCATCATGACATATTTGGCAGCAATAAAATGTGCTAGAATGATAAAAAAAAATATTGGAGAACGCATAGGACTAAACATTTAAAAGCCTGCTTTTTTTTCTGAGGAACTAATTGTAATATCTGAGACTTTTGTTGGCTAGGAAATTTCTCTAGAAAACTTGCGTAAATAAGCATGAACTAAATCGAAATGAGAGTTTCTTTAGCGTTACAAATTTAAACTTGTCTTAAATCAAAGTTCAGAGAGGAGATATCGTCTATTTCCCGTTTTTGTTCATTATATAATTCTCTGTGTTGTGAGCATCGAGTTGCACACGCAAGGGTTAGGGTGAGCGCATGCGCGCTGTCTACTTTGTCTCTCTAAGCTACAGCGTTTGTCGATAGAAGCTAGAATTTTTGTATTTCCGTCTGTTCCAAACAGGTCTTTGTAATTCCCATCGCCATGAATCTCTTAAATAAAGTGCGTGACAGCCTAGGAATTTATCTACCAATCTTAGCGTTTCATTACTCGTCGAATTCTCTCTCTCTCCCTCTTCCTATCAGCCATTCTCTCTTTCTATTTATATCTGTATATGCATGTATGTGTGTATTTGTACGTGTGCGGTCGACTATATTTCGTTCAGTTTACGTTAATTTTCTTGAGAAAAGCATGAATTGGATAGGAGTCCTTTTTCTTCAGCTACGGGATAAGTAACAAGCAGACCGGTGACGTTAGCCTTGCCCCAGCAACCGGTTTAGTAACTACCTTTCTTCGGTTACGGGGTAAGAAACAAGATAGACTGGACATGTTAGCCTTGCTAGATTAATCGGTTTAGGAGACCTATTTCTCCAGCTACAGGTTAAATAGCAGGGCAGATTGGGTACATTAGCCTTGTTAGATCAATCAGTTTAGGATCCCTTTTATCAAGCTACGGTTTAAAAAGCATTTTAACCTTGATGGCGAAATCAGTCTAGGAAAAATCTTCCTCTTCAGGGATATTTAGACTCGTTACAATGACCTATCTAGGTGAAAGGAAATTCTTAATCTAAAATTAATCTGAAGAAGGAGAGACCTCGTCAGGTTGTATTGTTTTAGACAAATCTAATTCCATTTACACTATTTACATTGTCAGAACTGTTATCCTCATCTCCAATGCCACATTCAAGACGTTTCGACCATTGTTCTTTCCGGTCTTCGTCAAATGATATTCGTTTCGAACCAAAATACTTTATTCAGTCCACGGGAGTAGAGAAAATAACGACATAAGATGTAGATGTTCCACACTACTTGAAACAAAAGGTTAGGAAGTAACCCCTCCAAGTTGATAATGGAAAGAGCGATAACAGCTACTGGACTTGAGAAACCTATTTTCCTGAAAAAATTTAAGAGAAACGTTTTACAAATGGCAAATGTTTCTTCATAAAGAAGCAGTTAATATTAGAATTATCATTATTATCACGTGAGAGTATAAAAAGTTAATAGTCGCTTAATGTTGTTTAATTCTGGTTTATTATTTATGCTATAATGGTCGTTGTATACTAACATAAAAAAAATAAACCTATTTAAAATATTAAGCGACAACAAAACACTATTAACTGTTATTTTTACTATTACCAGAAGTTTCTTTGTCTTTATTCATTCATATATATATATATATATATATATATATATATATATATATATATATATGACATCATATTATTTTATAGATACAATTATTTAAGTAAATTCTCTGTTTTATAATAAACAGAATTAATTACATTTACCGGCCTGAATGTTAGAGAAATTTCGTAGAAAATATGCGTCCTCCGACATGAATCGAACCTGTACCATACACGGACCCGTCACTATATATATATATATATATAGTTTGTTTTATGCTCATGCATGCGTATACAGAGACAGGTAGATACACACACACACGCACACACGTACACGCGCGCACACACACACAGTCTCTCTATCATACAAAATGCACATATACGCACGCGCAGGGTCTCCCCCCATCTCTCCCACACGCACACTCTGCTTCTCTGTACCTCTCTCTCTCTCACACACACACATACATACATACATATATATATATATATATATATATATATATATATATATATATATATATATATATATATATATATATATATATATATATATATATCCAAGAGTTACATTCAACATCATCACTTGATAAGACACCGAGGGTGGTGAAACAAAATGACTATTTTTGTAGTGATTTTATAACATATTTATGTTATAAATTTAAAAAAAAAAATTATATATATATATATATATATACACACACCCACATATATACACACACACACACACACACACACACACACACACACACACACATATATATATATATATATATATATATATATATATATATATAAAAAAGTGAGAAATAGGCGGGTGAAAGTGTGGTGACTAACTGAATGGTTCTAACTGTATCAATTTGAATGACAACATATTAAATATTCGTAGCCGGTTTAGTACTTCTATGGTCTTATTGTAAGATACTTAACGTTTGAATTTGATGTCTTCCTTTCTGTCTTCTATTCTTCCTTACTTCTCAGTTTTCGTAATCCCTTCATCCATTTGCTGCTTACTCTTTCCTCCTCATACAGTTTCCTTCGCCCAGGACGGACTCCTTTCTTTCGTCAAGATGCAAATTATATGAGCAGTGATTTAAAAGATCTTGACTCTAAGCAAAGCGGTCCAATTTACGAAGCGACTGAGTAAACCGTCTTCAAACGATTTAAGCTGAGAGATATGTTTGCACTATTTTGAATCGAGGAAGGTTTTATCATAGTTTTTTTTTTTTTTTTGTTGCTTTAGTTTCGCCGCGATTAGATAGAAGCGAAGAGGCGTGCGCATGCGTATTTCAGTAGAGGGTATGTGCGCTTGCGTAGGTGTTCAGCGTGGGTGTGCTTCTTCTCTGATATGCCTGAAAATGTGTCGAATGTAGTTGCGTGTGCGTGTGGCTCCACGTGGTCTTGTCTGTGTTTAAACGTGTGCTGGGGATTCTGCCTGATTCACCCAACATCATTTCCTGCAAATTAAATCTGAAATATTTCGGCGAGCAAAGACCTGCATTATCTATATATTGTATTCGGAGCGAAAATACACACAATTGGAAAGAATTGCTAGCCCTTGTCTCTCTCTAAATCGTTTCAGGCAGCCGAAAGGAGTGATAAAGCTTTAAATGTTCGCATTAAGGCAAGCAAGCATCTGCATACACCCATGCACAAGTACGGGCGCAACCCTAGCATACTATTCTTTTACTAAAAGTTACCAAAATACAAGGCGTAAGAGCCACTCGAGGTAGAGCATTACTTTGTGAGATTATAAAGGAGAGGGAAGGGTGAAGTAAGAGAGTATTATGAAGACGACTAAAGGCTAAAATAAACCCAATTTTTTAACATTCAGGGAAGCATAATCTCGGGAGTTTTTTTCAGTTTCGAGAAAGAAGCTGTCCAAGGGAAAATTGCTTTTTATCAAAGGCAATCATTTGTTTGCCAACGTGAGCCATAACGGATCCTAGATTGAATGTCTGGACTGGGGGAACTAAGGAATGTCCCTCATCCGAACATCTGCTATAGCAATAGCGGTAATAATGAAAGGCTGGCAACGTTTCGTCTGTGGGATAAAAGTTGCAGGGTGGAGAATTATTCATCACCCACAAGGCCGTGTGTGCTTAATTTTGTAAAAAAAATATATATATGCGGAATACATTGTGTCGATTGACCTCACTGCGGTAGTGTTAACTTGTTATGTCAGTTTGTTAACTATTACGCTGAAGCTACTCAGCTCTAATTATTTACTAAAGTTACCTTACATCTGGCATAAGGCCGTAAATTGGTAGCGCCCGAATTCGCACTCAATCAGGTAACACTCTATTTCAGTAAACGGCTGGAAATTCAAAACGTTTTGTAAAGCTATAAATATTACAAAATTGTAGATTTGATTTCCTAAAACATTTCACATAACCAGTAATTATATAATTAAGCAATTGGTCTTATTATCAAATGTTAATGACCAGATGATGTAAGCTTGGGTGTGCGGGTGGTGTAATGGATAACAGCCGAGTTCTAATTCATGTTGGGTTCGTTATATTCACTTACGCTCACATACCTTTGTGAAAGGTATGAATCTACCTCTTCTCCCCCAGCTATGGGTTAATTAGTAAAATGTGAATCACTAATCTATTATTATATAAAAAAAATATCTTACAATCTGAAAATATTTTCTGGCTTTAAATTACCCGCAAAGGGTTGATAAGCCGTAAAAACGAATCAATCAATCAATCGAATACTGATTAGCTACACAAACATAACTTTTAATTTATTTAGATTCTCTGGAATATAAATGTATAGAAAGTACTGTATAGAACGAAGGATCAGTTTATATATTTATTGCAATATAGAATTGATCCCTCACTTATATACACTTTATAACTCAGAAACCAAATCAAATGTGTACATACACCATGAGGTTTCCGGCCATATCACGTTGAAATACCGGTTCCCGTACGATCACCGAAGTTAAGCAAGGTCGAACCTAGTTAGTACCTAGATGGGTGATTTGAAATAATCTGTAAAAGCACTGTTTATGATGTGCAAGAAAATCAAGGAGCATTTGAACACTTGTTATTGTATTAATTAAACTTGCATCTCTGTCTTTGGGCAGAGTGCGCTCAGGGACGGCTCCGCAAAGTCGAAAATTATACTGAGAGGTGCCCAGCACGGGGCAACAGCTGCCTGGAGCCGCGCCCTCTCATTGAACTAGAGAGAGGGATCGGTGCTCGCACCGAGGCCAGCGCAACTGACGGTTGCGGGGGCCTGGGAAATTTTTGTTCCTAGCCTGGGAGTATGCGCTCGGGATCCCCACATTAAACCGACCTTGTGTCACAACATGACCTCGTGGTGGTGGGGGGTTGAGTAAGTACAGATTAAGCTTAGTTGAATGTTGGCAAATGACTACATATATAGGACATTAAATTATTCAGGTACCTCAATTTTACGAAATTAATCGCAGTACTAGTTTGGCAGTAAGGTCTCACCATTTTAAAAATGAATTATATAGCCATAAGTTCTATGATAACATTTTCCTCCTTTGCGCTTCTTACTTGTGGAACTTTCTTCTGGCTTCTTACCTTCCAGACAACTTTGGTCTTCAAAATTTAAATGCAATGTCAATCGTTATCTCCTGTCTTTCTGATTACTCTTCTATTGTTCTCGCTCAATTTTCGCTTGTGGAACTCTCTTCCGGCTTCTTGCTTTCCAGTAACTTTGATCTTCAAAAATTTAAATGCAATGTCAATCGTTATCTACTGTTTTCCTGATTACTCTTCTATTGTTCTCGCTCAATTTTCGCTTATGGAACTCTCTTCCGGCTTCTTGCTTTCCAGTAACTTTGATCTTCAAAAATTTAAATGCAATGACAATCATTATTTATTCTTCTTAACGTGCTTTTATTGTTCTCTCTCCATAATGTTTTCTTTTTCTCATATTCTTGGTGAAATGATTTAAACAAAAAATCCTCACAGAGGAGGAGACTTGAGTCAACAGAAATATGACTGTACAGAATGATGCGGAGAATACCATAGACTAAATATGTGAATAATGAGGAAGTTGTATAAAGGCACATTTAATTAGAATCAGAGACATAGAGTTTAAATATCTGGGTCATATAATGAGGAAAGCTGTCATGAAGAAATTGACATTCTGAAGCTATAGTGAAATACCTTACATAACCAGATTGTAAAAATGGATGTCAGAACGGGGTCTTTGAGAAATAGTAAGAAGACACAGTTCTATAGACCTACAAAGAATTGATGGTTCCATAATCATCTATACTTTGAAGGGACATGGCAAATAAAAAAGGAAGTTGATAACAACAGTCTAATGACTGACACGTTGGTTTCATGGTAGGAGTTTTTTTAAACTATTGTCGTAGGATTATCTAATCTCAGCTAAACCTTTGCAAAAAGCCACAGTTATGACTGACAAATGAGAATCAAACTCCTTATTCAGTGTTAATCATCGGAAGGACATACACATCCCCCAATTTAGACATTGATTTTCCAAGCGTAGCTTAGATGTGACACAAGGCCGAATGTAGAGGCGCTCAGTGAGGATCGAACTCACTACTCAATCGTAATTGTTCTGACGAAACAAGCTTGCTGACCATTACACCACCGCGCGGTGACCTACCCAATTTAGATATATCTACTTTGAGACAAGCAGAGGTTATCAGTGAAAACTTAACTTGCGAACGAGTAGCAATGGCCAACATGACCAGCTTACTAACCATTGTCCTACGGCAAGACATTTAATACAGCTCTGAGTCTATTCATAAATAAGATTTATTTATGATTTCCTAAATCAGTGCAGTGTAACATAGACGTTTGAAGAATCAATTTCCTGGTCCATTTTGTCGTCTCTTTGGTTAGTTATTTTTTGCAGTATTTTCTTATGTTGAATGGACAGGTAAGTGAGTAAGCATATTTAAACGGATGTAACTTATAACGCAAATAGGTCTATAAGTGCTTAGAGAACATTGTCGTGTAATTATCGACTCTTGAGAATATTGCCAATAATTGCTTGTATGTAAATTTCCGTATGACTAACTTTGTAGCATCTAAAATGGCCAAAGTGTTTGCAGTTGTGAGCAAAACGCCAAAACTTGATTAAATATGAACAAATGATGTAAAGAGGTTCGAGAAAATAAGAACTAAAAGTGAAAGTGAAAGTGAAAGTGAAAGTAGGCAATCCATTTACAGAAAAAATACTGGAAATAAAAAGGGAAAATTAGTTGGTCTAAACGAGTCGAAGAACGAGCTCAAAGAAGAAATGAATTAGAAGAGGAATGTGAATTATTGAAGGACGTCATGGATAAGTAGGGTAAGAATGATTAAATCATTAAAAGAGAAAGAAAGAAAAGCAAAACGAGAAGAAAACAGAATGAAAGAATAAAAGAATGAAAAATATACAAAAAAAAAGAGAAAGAAATATGAGAAAAAAATTAAATTAACACGAAATTATTCTTATTATAAGCTTTCTTATTCGAACCAGCTCACCTTGGTTTTTATATTACAACGACTCAGCTGTTCTAACTTCGCGGTCTTTTTCGGTTGCCGTATCTTCGCACATGGTAAATATCCGCTGTGCCATGAATATGTGGTAGACTTATTCCAGTTGTATTCCCTCAGAAAGGACTAAGTTTCCCTCAGCTTCTTCCCAAGAACTATTATTTTGCCGAAAAGACTCCCGAGATGAGGCTTCCCCGATAACTTCGATCTAAACCTATTCAAGACTAGGTTCAGCTGCTACTACATATCCCCATAAACTTCACTTCGTACTTATCTAGACCACCTCCTTTGGTAAATCTCTACCTTGACTGGCTCTTGGACTATTTACTGGGTGAATAATAGTATAAAACCCTTTTCTTGGAATTTCGAATCAGAACATTTGTTCAAACCAAGGTGATAGGTAGTTCTCATGCTACAATCTATGCCAAAGGGAGATAACTCGTATCAGTACGTACCAGTCTTATACAACTTTGTGTCAATTGTTCGTTTCTCCTACTGAAGCTGAGTACGATACTTTTAAAAACTACCAGAGTTAGGGCGTCCTGGGCAAGAAAATAAGCAACATCCATGTCCTGAGTAAGACGATAAACTACATACGCGTCCTGGGTAGGACGATAAACTATATCCGCGTCCTGGGTAAGACGATAAGCTACATTCGCGTCCTGGGTAAAACGATAAACTACGTCCGCGTCATGGGTAAGATGATAAACTACATCCGCGTCCTGGGTAAGACGATAAACTACATCCAGCAGCAACGGCTCTGATCAGGAGGAACCGCATTTTAATTGCTGGCGTTTTCAGGTACACCCTGACCCCGGGTAGTAACACCTGTTAGGGTCACAACTATGGGCAAATATTTAACCTCTTCAAACTAAGGGTAAAACACTATGAAAGTGTAAAAATAGATTTTAATACAAGCAATATGTTTTTGTAAAAAGAAAAAGATTACAAGCAATACATTTTTGAAGAAAATATACCATTAATACATTTTTAAAATATATATATATATATATATATATATATATATATATATATATATATATATATATATAAATATTACATTAAAATCGGCATTAAATAACCCATTGAGGTTGATATGACGTAAAACAAACCAAACCAAACAAAACAAGAGCTATAGATTGAACTCATAACTACCAATCATGCTAAACACCGGTTCACGTACGTCACCGAAGTTAAGCAAATTTGAGCCTGGTCAGTACCTAGATGGGTGAACACTTGGGAATACCATATGCTGTTATCTTGGCTGTGCGGGTGGTGTAATTGATAATGGCTCGTAATTGTTAATTGGAGATCCGAGTTACAATTCCCGCTGGGTTTGTGGGAAATGTATTGATCCATCTCTTCTCCACCTGCTATGGGTTAATCAGTAAGACTTGTACCACTAAACTATTATTAAATTTCCATAAAAATTCTTACAATGTAAAAGTATTTTTCGTCTTGAAATAATCCGCAATGGGTTTATAAACCGTACTAAACGGATCAACAGTTGCAACTGACGGGGAATCCGATATGTTTTAATCAACGCTATAGTTCACTAGATTTGCGGAGATGAGTATAGTGGTTCAAATAGAATACTGGTTCAAACAGAATAGTGGTTTAAATAAAATATGATTGAAATAGAATGCTGGTTCAAATAGAATGCTGGTTCAAATACAATATGGTTCAAATAGAATGCCGGTTCAAATAGAATACTGGTTCAAATAGAATATGATTCAAATAGAATACTGGTTCAAATAGAATAGGCTTCAAATAGAATACTGGTTTAAATAGAATACTGGTTCAAATAGAATAGGCTTCAAATAGAATACTGGTTCAAATAGAATATTTGTTCAAAATCAAACAAGTACAGAAGTTTTAATATTTGGGAAGTCTTCTAAGAGAGGATGGAAAATGCGACACCAAAATCCATCTATAAAATACCCTCATTCAATATTTCTCTACCTTGAGAGGCTCTTCCGCATTGTACTGATGAATCCATAGCGTAAAAGAAATGTACAATTATTCTACGTACCCGTGTGAGTTTGCATATTAAGTGTGAATTTGTGTTGTATTTGAATAGCTTATGCATCGCGAAGAAGAAAATAATGACATACGACTTTGAACTACGACGTTACTTTAGCCGACCAAGCATAGAAATGAATATAATATGGGAACCAGTATTAAGGAGAGTCAGAGAAAAAGCGATAATAACAACAAAAGTTGCAATATGAGCTCTGGTAAAAACATGATTTGATAACAGTAAAAAATTGCAATATGAGCACTGGTAAAAATGTTTGCTGAAGACATTAGGTTGATAATACCTAGAAATGCATGTCCTCAAGGACACATAGCACAGTAGATAAAGGCGTTGGTTAGGAGCCAAAGAGTGTGAGTTCAATACCCGGTTAAGGCAGTAGAGAACTTTCAGAGGGATATAATTGATAGTAGATAACTGATAACTTAATTAATATGGCACGTGGAACTAGAACAGTCTACCTGAATGAGCGAAATAAAGGGTTAAGTTCGACATTCAAACCACCCGAAGAAGGCCGGAGTACAAAAAAAGAGTGATGAGATTTACTGGACATAAAGAGAAAACCTTTTTTTCTGAGACTCTTTTAAGAGAAATATCTTGTAAATTTAAAGCCCCAATAAGACGAACTGGTCTTTTAATGAATGCAGTGACGGTTATTCTCGTCATTCGCAATACCTTTGCCATTCTCAAACCAAACGGTGCAAGACAAAGACGCCATTTTAGCTCTTAATTGGGTAATTGTCTGAACATAGTTTGGAATAGTTTTATATAATTGGGTCAGCATGTAAAACATGAACTCATTGGAGGAAATTGGTTGGCAATTTTGAACAGGTAGGACATCGCTTGCCAGTAGAGACTCTGGGTTTTCTATGTTAATTGAACATTTCATCTTTTTAATTTTAATCATTTGAGCTTAGCAAGGCGAGAATGCCACTATTTCGCAACGGATTACAGATGGTGAACATGAAAGAGAAGACTGAGTATAGGGACGAATGAAGATGAACGAAATTCAAGAAAACAGAATATAGCGATTGACGTTGTATAACACTTTTTAAAGATTGTAGTTATCAGGGAAAGTGAAGAGAGTTCTACAGGTGGTAATTGCAGAAAAGAAGCTAATGGAGTGGAATTGGCGGTTGCATTACCTATTTCAACAGTAAAAGGGTGCGGTCTAGATGCTAATCTAATAGCATGCTTACCGGGAAGAAGGTTCGTCAGAATTAAAATAATTGTAGAAAAAGACAGAGGGAAGCCTCGTCACGTGGATGATATAGGGACTGAAATCGAGATACCAGGTCAGAATTGATTACATTACAGATCCTTCTTTGAATTTTGTCAAGAATCTCAAGATGTATAGCAAGTAGATCAGTTTCCGGGAAACCGACAGCCTGACAATGGCGCATGAGATTTGATTATAATGGTGAAGGCCTCGTGCAGGACCATCCACACTTTTTGAAGGGCCGAATATAGTGACCTGGTGCACCGAATGCCACAAGGTTCCCAAACGACCCTCCGCAGGTTTTGAATTCAGAGTTGTCCTTCTCCTAGACCAGTTGCCATCCAATACCAAGTGTGTCCTGCTTTTTCACCCATAGCTGGATGGAGAAGAGGATTCATACCTTTCCCAAGGGTATTAGAACGTAAGTGAAGAATGTAATGGATTCGACTGGAATTCGGCTCTGCGGTTCCTCAATCCAAGTCGCTATCCATTACTCCACCGTATATATATATATATATATATATATATATATATATATATATATATATATATATATATATATATATATATATTCACAGCGCTCTCTTCTCCTTCGATGGAAGCGATGCTGGCCGAGTAGTGTGTGTGCGTGGCCGTCGCGCAGCCACGACCACCTAAAACAATATCCTCAGCGGCTTTTTTTTTTCTTTCTTTTTTCACCTATTTTCATCTGTTCACCTCCATCATCATCACCAGCCAAGTCCTGTGGGGATAGCACCGCGAACAACGGGGGGCAGGCCTGGAACGCCCAAGGCCTTCAACCCGCGACTGCACACAATCAGTAGGGGGTCAAAAGAGATATATATATATATATATATATATATATATATATATATATATATATATATATATATAATTTATTGCATAAACGTTATTTTATGAATACCCGTATTTGACCAAAAGGCGTCCTTTTAGGCGACACCATCATTGGATCAAACGCGCCTTGTCCTATTGGACAAGAATAACAAAATACTGCTTTTGAATACAGATTTTTTCAGTTTCATATCCTAATATAAACAAAGACAATTCTTAAGAATGTAATTTTCATATATTAATCTGATTGATTTTTGATTTACTGTTGAAACGTTAGTTTTAATGGATATCCATATTTGAGTCAATATGAAATGACTTGTCACATCAAAACAACATAATTTGTTACGAACAAACTATTTAACAATTCGAAATGTTCCCCTTCATGTTCAGTCCAACATGCCTGTCAGTAACATTTGACATATTTCTACATTAATTTTAGTC